GTCTGGAGCAGGACAGCAGACATGAAGAAGTACAGCCAGAACTGTTATCCAATCAATTCTCAGAGGAAGGAAAGCTCAGAAAATCCAAGTGGTGAGACAGCTCTGAGTGAGGAGGGTGTGAGGAAGTTCAGCGTGAGGGAGGGTAGAAGGGCTGAGTGTGGCAGGGTATGAGGTAGCTCTGAGGGAGGGAGCTTGAAGTTAGGGAGTGGCAGCTCTCATGAGGGAGCTCTGAGCGAGGAAAGTTGTGGAAGCTGTTAGTGAGGGAGCGGGTGTGGAAAGCCTGAGTGTGGGGAGTCCTGAGTAAGGCTTAATGTGATGCAGCTCCGAGTGAGTGAGGATGTTGCAAGGTTGGTGCAGTAAGGCCACAGAAAGCACTTGAGGGAGGGCTGTAACGGATTTCACGGCAGGAAGTCTTTCAGCCACTGTGGTGTGAGGAGGCAGAAGAGATGAGACACTGAACCGCATGTAATGCCTGCTCCACACCCATGCTAGAACCACGCTATCTTGATTACTGTAGCTTCGTCCTAAGTTTTAAAATCCCAGCTGGGATTTTGATAGGGATTTTGATAAATTTATGAGGCCAATTCTAGGAGTTCTGATACGGACACCTTAATAGTTTTAAGTCTTCAGATTCATGTTCATGGCATGTCTCTATTTTTTTTAGATCTTTGATTTCTTTAAGGATTGTTTTATAGTTTGTAAATGTCTTGGACTCGTTAAATTTATTCTGTTTTATCCTTTTTGACGCTATTGTGAGTAGAATTTTTTAATTCAGGAAGTGCTCTGTTTTGTGGCATGTCGGGGTAGGGATATTTGAAGTGGTTCATCATCAAATATTCCTGATTAATGGAGAATGATTATATGTGATGTATCTAGATGTTCAAATGTCAAGGAATCAGAATGCAGTAAAGTACCAACAGTGACTAAGTCTGATTGTAATCATGGAATCTTTGAGGAGCCAGAAGGGACTTCAGAATGTTCTAGAGCTTTGGGATTGGCCTCCTATGTGCCTCCCACAGCACTCTGCCTTCATTAATGCCCACATGGTCTGTGTCCCAATGTGTAGTGTTTTCTCCACCCTACACTATGAGTTCATGAAGATAGGGATCATGTCTTAATTCTTTTCTGCATCCTCAGTGCTGAATATTATGCCAATATATGGTGGATATTCCATATGCCATGACATAACCCATAACAGTTATAATGAACAGACTTGAGAGTTTACCTGTGTGTTGCTATGGGTTCCCGGCATACCGGTAATTGTCATGACCAAAGCTGCCATGTTTGTACCTCTTGACCCCACCCCTCCCTGACCCAACCAATTGGACCAATGCTGAACTGGAGCAATCGAAAGTGGGACACCGGACAGCTGAGTCAGCTATGTTTACAGAGATGAACCCTGGTGAGCGGAAGCCATGTGCAAGGTTAGGTACATGCAGCAGCCACGAGGGGGCAGAAGGAAGCCAGTCTGCAGACAGGGACAGAAACCAGCGCCTCAGATCCAGAGAGAGGGCTGCCTCAGGCCCCGGTGGCTCTCTATTTTGCAGTTCCATTTATTTCAGAGAACTTTCCAAGGCTGCAAACTGGTTGCCCATCAACCAAACCTGGCCTAAAGATGAATTTTATTAGACTCACACATTTAAAATTTTAAACAATCCAACACACTAAAATTAAAAAGAATTTTTTTGATCTAGCAGTCAATATTTTGGAGATTTCACATAAGAATGCAGATTCTTGTCTTGAAAATCAGGCGACCTCATGGTACAACAATATCAGTTGGAGCTGAATAGCAGCCACTCCCTTTGGACAGGGCCCATGCCCTGTACTCTGCCACAATCTTCCTCTCTTCCTGTTGTTCCTTACACTTCCGTTTCCCATATTTATATCCCCCAGGAAATTAACTACTGTTCCGAGTCTTATTTTACAGTTTTACTTCTTAAAGCTGTTGTCTTCCTTGCAACTATAACAGCCTTCATGAGAACTATGTGTCAGGGTTTCTCTTGGCTATCTCCCATCCCACCACCACTGTCTTCCTTCTCTGTACTAACAGAATCTCAATTTTGTGTTCGAGAGGCTCTGGGTACCCCTTGATCCAGTGGGAGGTAGGCCCTTCCTTCCCCAGCTAGGGGATGGCTCATGCTGGGGTGGGCCTGTGACCCAGGTCTGACTAATGCAAAGCAATAGTAAATCTGCAGGACTTCTCTTTCCAGCCAAAACAACAGACTCTCTAGAAAGAAAACCTGTTGTGACTGCTCCTTCCCCATTCTACCTCTTTGGAAAAAAAAAACTTGATGCCTGGCACACTGGCAGCCATTTTGCCACCATGAGGTTTCACACTTAGGGTCAGTGGCTGACATGAAGAGGAGGGTGGGGAGGGAAAGCAAAAAAAAAAAAGCTGGGTCCTTGATGACATTGTTGAGTTGCTGAACTTTCCCTGGAACTGTCTGACTCTGGGCTTGTTGTTAAATGAACAATTAATACTCTAAAGGGTTAAACTACTATTGGTTGGTTTTGCTCTTACTCACAGCTCAAAGTTATTCCAGTCCTTTGATGTTTATTGTCATAACCAAGGAAGACTCCAGATATCATCCTTCAAGGCTCTATGTTGCTTACCATTATTTAAAAATAATGCATATCCATATTCAAAGTCCATCTCTAAGATACTCTTTTTTTCTCACTGCCAACACATCTCATGTATGTATTCCTGAGCATACTTGAAGTAAGGGAAAAAAAGAAACCATGTAATCCTGGCTACATTGAATATTCTTTACCATTTTCTAGTCTTTCCTAACACTGAGAGAGACAGATGACATTTCCATTAATGGAAAGGGGAGCTTTTGGATGGTTCAAAATTAGATACAAAGGTTTTCAGCTAAAGGTCTCATGTGTTTCAGAGGCTTTCACAATGTTTGTGGCAGCTCTTATTTCATTCAATAATATCGATTTTATAAAAGGGCATGCAATTTAGAAAGCCAAAAGTGTTCACCTTTCATTTTCTCGAGAAAACCCACAATCACAAGCTTCTTTGCTCCAGCCCCTGGAATACATCTATGCCCACCAAGTTCTCCTTCCCCACCACAGTCCCCAGTTTCTCCAGGTTATTTGAGGGTGAAGAGAGTGGACTTTCTCATCTGGCAGTGTCTGGTCAGCTGGAAGGCAAAAAAGACAAGCAAAGGTTCTTTGTTACCCAGGAGAGCTCAGCAGACCAGAAATAATTAGAGCTTTAGCCACTCATGGTCCAAAGAAATGTGGGTGACAGAGAGAGGAAGCTCTGCCAAACTGCCCCCTCTGACTGCCTGGGCCCCGGGGGTGCTGCAGACCATATATCCAGGGACATGGGATCATTTGCAGTTGGGCCTGGGCCTGAAGGAGCTGCCCACTGTGATCTCTACACCATTAGCAGCGAGTGTTGCTTCCAAACAGACTCAAAGTCGGCAGCCAACTGTGCACCTTTTCCCCCTTGTTGGAAAGATCATCATATTAAAGCATACGAAAGCATCAAACTTACCCTGAATGAACAAAGCTGGTAAGACCATTAAGGTCCTAGGACATTATGACAAACGGACAAACTTCAGCCCTTTCAATGTCCATCACCAACATGTTTTAATAAAGATGAACGTACACATTTGGCCTCCTCGAAATGTTCACTTCAAGCAGACATCTCCAAGCAGAGGGTCAGTCTTCTCTGGTCTTTGATGGGATCTGGAAGCTTCTTCCCACCTTCCCTAGGTTCCTGCCTTCATGATGGGGAAAAGGCTCATAGAAACCAAAACCTGGCAGTGGATGTTGTCTGCTGAGAACAGCATCTGCCCTTCCTCTGGAGGCCAACCCCCAAACCTGGTTGACCTCCCTGTTCTTTCTTTGAAAATGCACGTTTCATACATTTGGGACCTCCCATTCCTCCTATGCACAGCATGTCTGTCATGTGGTCCATCACCAGAACCCAAGCCAACCCTTGACTGCAGGGGTGGCAGAGAATCCAGGGAGGAAGGGATCCTGGTCCCCTGACCCTGATGGGAGTGGGTGGTTGGGGGAGCCTCTTTCTGTTTCCCTAGCCACGTACCACACTCAACTCCCAAATGCTGAAACCTGACTTAACTGTTTTCTTGCCCCGAGAGTCACCAGTCAGCCTGACCAAGGAGGCGGCCAGAAAAGAAACCCCCCGGAGTGGCCTTTTCTACTTCCGAAGGGGAGGCCCCTGCTTCGGCTGTGGGCTTGGTTCTCACCGCCCTTTCACCTCCACCCCCAATTCCTGGAGGTAACAACTCTGAGGTTGTCATCTGGTGCAAGCCCAGCTGTCCTCATGCTCACATTTGGATCCCCTGGAACCAGGGACAGTGACTCCAAGAAGGGGCCAGGTGGAAGCATGCAAGAGACTCAAGTTCAAATGCATGTCCATCTTTCAGAGTCTCCGCTACTCAAGCCCTGGGGATGCAAACTGAGGGGACCCTTCCCCAGGAATATTTCTCAGACCCAAGAAAAAGCTGCTCAGGCCACACCCAGGTCACCTGCAATTTCAAAGAAAGCAAGCCTGGGGCCGGGGATGCAGGAGAAACCTAAGAACAGATCCAGTGGGTGGCTGGCACGTGTCATCTTACTGGACGGCAGATCTCACAAGGGTCCGTCTGGGCCTGGACTGTATCTGCAGAGATCTTTTGGTTGTTGTTCACCGAGGGTGTGACCGGCTGACTCTGGATGGTGTCTGGCTGGCTACTGGTGTCACTGGGCACTCCTGAGGTGGCAGTTTTCCCATGCAGATCCACAGGTTATTAACAGACCTTGACACACACATACAGAGAACCTCCCAAAGCAAAGGCCTCCCCACCCCCAGGTGGATCTCGATGAATATGAGCAAACAGTCAAGACACAAAACCTTGTTGGCCTGGGCGGTGCCCTTGGGTGAGTTCTCGGTGTGGGCAGTGACGATCGGTGCCCCGCTGGGCTCCACCAGCTGTTCATGCTCTATAGCCTCAAAGGCCAGTGCAGCCCCCCATTGGTTGCTACTCCTGAGAGCCCGAGTTTGACCTGGCGACACCTGTGCCGTGCGCCCCGCGGCCAACCATCTCCTGCCCCCACTCCCGGTGGCTGGATTCCTGCAGTCCACGGCCTTTGGTCTCAATAGGCAAAAAGCAGGAGGCCAGGGCAGCCAGGAGGCAGCAGCCACTGTAAACGGCCAGCGTCAGGTACACGGATGATTCCAGCATCACCTGGGGGAGGGAGACACACGCTGGTGAGAGTGTCCCTAATGACGCACAGGCACCACCAATCACACAGATGATACTGAGGATGCCAGGTCCTCCTGTAAGCCCTCTCTGTCGCTGGACTCCCATGGAGTCCTCAAGACAGCTTTATGAGGCACAACTCCAACCCCATTTTACAGAGGGAAAAACCAAGGCTCAAAAAGGATTAGGCAACACAAAGACCAAGGATGGGGCTGGGATTTGAACCCAGATCCCATCAGACTGGAGAGTCTGTTTTGTTTTGTTTTTTAGCCACACCAGGAGGCATGTGGGATCGTTCCCTGATGAGGGATCAAACCCATGCTCCTTGCACTGGATGTGAGGAGTCTTAACCACTGGACCACCACCAAAGTCCTTCAAGAGTTTGTTTATTTTCTCTCAAAGCAGCACATCTGCTGGCTTCCTATCTTCATGACCCAGGCAAATCACGCAGCAGGTCTAAACCTCATTTCTTCAGCTGTCAAATGGGCAGAAGGGCAGAGGTCACCTCTCAATGAGAAGATGCCTCACTTGGCACCATGCAGGCACTTGGCAAGTTGCCAACCAGTGCTAGTTAATAGTGATGTACAATGTTCAAACACAATGGTACTGGGACAGAACAACTTGGCCAAAGCATGTATTAGAATTCTATTTACGCAGAAGATTCAGAAGAGAAAAAATTCACACAGACAGAATGCATACCAGTGGTTGCCAGGGGCTGGAGGAGCCAGAGCTGGGAAGTACTTGTTTAATGGATACAGAGGTTTATTTGGGGGCAAGGAAAATGCTTTGGAACTAGATCAAGGTGGTGGTCCCTGACATCACGAAAGTGCTAGAGGCCAGTGAATCATTCACTTTTTTTTTTTTTTTGCAAATATTGACTTTTTGTTTATTAAGTTCTTTTTTTGTTTTTATTTTTCTATTTTATTCTTTAATTAATTAATTTTACTTTACAATATTGTATTGGTTTTGCCATACATTGACTTGACTCCACCATGAGTGTACATGTATTCCAAACATGTAAAATATCATATATAAAACGAATCGTCAGTCCAGGTTTTATGCATGATACAGGGTGCTCGGGGTTGGTGCCCTGGAATCATTCACTTTATTTTAAAAATTTTATTTATTTGGCTGCACCATGTGGCTTGTGGGATCTTAGTTCCCCAACCAGAGATCGAACCTGTGCCCTGGCATTAGAAATATGGAGTCCTCACCACAGAATTGACAAGGAAGTCCTCGAATTAAAATGGTTAATTTTACGTTACATGACTTTTACCTCAATTTTTAAAAAAATGATTAAAAACGTGAAAAAAAATGAATTGGATATTAAAAAAAGCAAACAGACTCCAATAAAATAAGATCCCCCCCCCCAAATAGACAGAAATGCTTCAAGGTACAAAGACCTGAAAAAGTCTGCAAGGACACTGAATCATCCGAATCAGAAACTGGGGGCTGGGACATTAGTTTCCCTCTAAGGCATGGTGGCCTGTTTATTCTAATCCAAACTGTTTTTGGCCACATCATCAGAAAGACCCGAGTTTGACTCCCAGCTCCTCTACCTCCCAGCTGTGTGACGTTGGACAAGGCCCATGACTCTTCCGAGCCTCGGCTTTCTCGCTTGCACACAGTAGGGCTGCTTCCGCAGGGCGGATTGCTAACAGGAGGCCAGGCTGCGCACGCACACCCAGGGCCACGCGGAGGCCCAGCTTTGGCCAGGCCCGCCCCCTCTGTATCGGGGCGACACCTACCTGAGCGATGAACGGGGTGATGAGGGCGCCCACCCTAGCCATACCGCTGCAGGTGCCAAGGCCCAGCGCTCGGGTCGCCGTGGGGTAGACCTGAAACACAGCCGCCCAAGTGGCTGCCCTGAGAAAATGCAGGCCCCTCCCTCCTCCCTGGCTCAGGAAGGATGGAATTCACCCTGTGGGCGGTCAGTCCCGCGAGGGCGGGGTGGGGAGTCTCACCCCAAAGGGCCCAGGAAACTCAACCAAGAAGGCAGGAGGCCAAGCTGGCAGTGGGAACCTAGGAACGGGGTCCTCTCTGCCCTGCGTGCTGTGCATGCTCAGGCACTAGGCCACGTCTGACTCTTTGTGGCCCCGCGGACTGGAGCCCGTTAGGCTCCTCCGTCCATGGGATTTTCCAGGCAAGAATGCCGGAGTGGGTTGCTATTTCCTCCTCCAGGGGATGTTCCCGACCCAGGGGTCGAACCAGCATCTCCTGCATTGGCAGGCGGATTCTTTACTGCTGAACCATCTGAGAAGCCTCTGCCCTGGGTGGTTATATCTAAATAAATAAATGAGTAAGTATGAAATTCCTATTTTTTTTCTTTCTATCATAGAGAATTTCAAACACAGACTAAAGTAGAATGATGAAATCAATATTCTAGGACCAAGCACAGTGGCCTGTGTTGGGTTTTTTGTTTTTGCTTTTTTAAAATTTTTTGGCCACATCTCATGGCATGTGGGCTCTTAGTTCCCAGACCAGGGATCAATCCTGTGCCCCCTGCATTGGAAGCACAGTCTTAACCCCTGGAGTGCCAAGGAAAGTCCCGCCTGTGTTACTCAATCACATTCATTTCCTTTCCCTCCTAAATTATGATAAGGCAAATCCTAGAGGGGATTTATCCACTAGTTTTAGTTTTATCTAGTTTTATTTATCCACTAGATACTTCTGTATATGCCACTTTGAAGATATTTTTTTTCTTCGTTGAAAAAGACTGCAGACATCTCCAATGTCCATATTTGTTCTTCTCCAGTGTGTGATTTTTAATGGCCACATAGAATTCTATCATTTGGATCAAGCATCATTCATTTAACCAATTCTTCCTCGGGCCTAGCCAGCTGGAATAGCTTAAGCCAGGAGTCAGCAAACTTTTTCTTAAAGAGCCAGACAGTAAATAACCTGAGCTCTGGGGGCCAGCTGGTCTCCAGCAACCACTCAGCTCTGCTCCTGTTACACAAAAGCAGCTGTGGACAGCAGTGCAGGAAGGGCTGTGGCTTGTTCTGATAAGGCTTTACTAATGAACACTGACATATGAATTCCATATAATTTTCACATGTCAAGAAATATCATTTTGATCTGGTGTTCAACTGTTTAAAAACATAACAACCATTCTTAACTCTTGGACTAGACAAGAACAGGCAGCAGGTTGGACATGGCCCGTAGTTTGCTGATCCCTGGTATTTGCGATTGTAGACGCCGGGCCTCCTAGTCCCTGCAGGGCCAGCAGCATTCTCCTGATTCCCTTCTGTGAGGCTCCAGCAATCAATCCACCAGCATCTGTTGAGGGGACTCTAGGCCAGATGAGAGTCAAAGCGCTGGAGACCCAGGCCCTGTCCACAGGGAGCCTTAGTAGAGTCTCCTTGGGGGACAGGCCATGTGGCAGGACTAAAAACACCAAAGAGGGGCACAGACAGTGAGGGTAAAATGAAGTTGGGGGGTGGGTATCCTGGAGGGCTTCCTGGAGGAGGCAGGGCTGGAGCTGGGCCTGGAAGGTGGGGTGGAGGTATCAGGACTTAGGATGATGACTCAGAGTGAGGGCTCTGAAGAGCTGTGCAGACCTGAGCTGTCGGGGGCTGGGGGGGGGGTGTTGGTGTCCCTTCCCCAGCATAGCATCTGATGCATACTATTCTTTCCCTCCCTTTGCCCCTATCTAAAATAAGGTGAGATAAAATAAAATAAATATAAACAAGTAACCCATCATCTCTGAGTGTGGGAAAACGGACACGCTGTCTCGTGGAGTCTAAGTTCAGGCAATATTTTAGAGGGTGGTGTGCTTTTTCAGTCTTTCTCAAGGACAAATTTCAGTCAGAGGAGCCCAGGCTTTGTGTTTTGGAGAAGTAGAGCTTCTCCCTCCATCTGCCCCTTCCCCACCACTGCTCCCAGGCATCCCTTCCCACCCTCCTACCTCAGGTGTGTAAACGTAGGCTGCTTGGAAGCCTCCAGAAATAAATGCTCTTGCAATGAAGAGTAACAGAGTGAGCATATTTCTAGGAAGAGGAAAAAAAAAAAAGCAGATGAGCAAGTATTAACATTTTTTTTTTCTGACAGTTTCTTTCAGCAGTCTTCTCTGCCCAGGTAGAATTTACGCCCTGCTGCTGCTACTGCTAAGTCGCTTCAGTCGTGTCCGACTCTGTGCGACCCCATAGACAGCAGCCCACCAGGCTCCCCCGCCCCTGGGATTCTCCAGGCAAGAACACTGGAGTGGGTTGTCATTTCCTTCTCCAATGCATGAAAGTGAAAAGTGAAAGTGAAGTTGCTCAGTCGTGTCCAATTCTTCAAGACCCCATGGGCTGCAGCCTACCAGGCTCCTCCGTCCATGGGATTTTCCAGGCAAGAGTACTGGAGTGGGTTGCCATTGCCTTCTCCGATTTATGCCCTAGAAATTGGCAAAGTCCACCTTACCCAACACACATTCAGGTAGGCATGCAGACACACACACCCCAGTGGTCTCTCTGAAGGCCGACTTTTATAAGTTTATCATTCTCCAAAGTTCCAGGCTGAGATGGAAACATCGGTGGTGCCCAGGGTGGGGGCGAGGTTGGGGAGAAGTGATCTAAATCATCCAAAGTCCAGGTAGGACCTAGTGGGGACAGGAATTGAGCTAGGAACCAGCTGAACCAGGGAAAGTAAACTTCTCTTCAGTATTTTGAGGACAATCCTGATCCCCAGCCCCCTGTTCCATTGTTCCTACAATGTCTTTGAATATCAGCATTCCCAGATCTAAGCTACATCTCCAGACTGTTCACAGATCTCTCATCTGCAGTTTGGTCTGGGGTCTCTCCAAGGTCAGCACAGGCCAGTTCTACCTTTGGAACCGGAAGAACAGTTCTACCTTGATAGATGGAAAAGATGGAGCAATGCTGAAAGCAGATTATAAAACAGGACCTTGAAACAGTGCCATGGAACAAATGAGCACTTACAACCCACCTATGAATTAAACACCTAAATGCTGGATCTCACTGGGAGATGATGTCAAAAGTCTAACTGTGATGGCGACAGAGTAAAGTGCCCTCCTACCCTCACCCCCATCAGAGGCCCCAACTTTAAGCCTGGGGCAGTTATGAGGCAGCCCACAGACTCAGTCCTAGTGAGGGATTGGAGGGATCTTTCAGATGATCCCCAGAGGGTGTAACCCACAGCTTGCAGGTCCAAAGAGCCACTGACCACCAGCTGAGAAATAAGCCAGCTGGCCACAGAAAGCTGGTATCATGACCCACCTTCCGACACAGATAAACAGCAGGAGGCTGCAAAAGGAGAAGACGATGAAACACAGGGCCATGGTCTTCTTGCGGCCCAGGCGGTCAATAATCCAGAGAGTCACAAGGACACCTGCAAGGGAGCAGGGGTACCATGGGAGGTGGTGTCTGACACGGCCCCCACCTCCCGATCTTCACATCCTATGTACTCCCCTCCCCTTGAGAGTGGGCTAGATCTCATGACCCACTTCTAATGACTAGAATATGGCAGAAGTGATGCACTGTCACTTCTTTTTTTTGAGCCAAAAAATTTTATAACAGGAATTCACCGGAGGCCTAGTGCTAAGGACTCTTGGGCTTTCACTGTGGAGGGTGTGGGTTCAAACCCTGGTTGGGGAACTAAGATCCCACAAACCACGTGGAACAGTCAAAAAATATTTTATATCGATATTTGATTGTGATAAAACGACTTACAAAAGTGTAAAAACAATCACTTGAAACTGTATTTTCCATAAATGTCATTAATGTTACTAGATGTCGACAATCTGCTTTAAAACGCATTGAGTTACTCAGAAACAAACGTGATTCCTCCTGGGAAATTGAATGAGGGGTGGGAGGCGCTAGAGTAGTAGACTATGGTTTCATTATAATCCCTAGTACAATTATTTTTTCCATGTGTGTGAATACTGCGATGAGATGCTTTAAAATAATGATATTTTAACAAAGCAAGAATGGCCTACAATTCACAGTGCTTGTAAAGACGCAATAAAAACCTGGTGCTTAAATTTTTAAAAAAATGCATTGCGTTATATGTCTCCAGTTCCGTTCAGTTCAGTTGCTCAGTCGTGTCCAACTCTTTGCGACCCCATGGATGGCAGCACGCCAGGCTTCCCTGTCCATCACCAACTCCCGGAGCTTACTCCAACTCATGTCCATCACATCGGTTATTATGTCTACTACAAAGTATATCTGTGAATCTTGGGCAGTGATTAAGATGATAACTTTTTAAAGTTAACTTTATGCCAGAAGTGACCTCCCTCGTGACAAACAGACGTATGTCTATAAGACTGGCAATCCCTGGTCATCCAGTGGTTAGAACTTAGCACGTTTACTGCCGTGGGCTCATGTTCAACCCCTGGGCGGGGAACTAAGATCCCACATCTCGTGGGGTGCAGCCAAAAGAAAAGGTGACGGAAAAAGATAGATCGCCTTTGCTTTCTGTGAAGCATACAGTAAAATGTCAGCCCCTTCACAGTCCTTGACAACTTGTAGCTAAGGTTTGAAAACAAACCCCCGGCTTTTTTTAGAAACGGGATTTGCTTCCGGCTAGCACGAGGTTGCAGGCACGTCCCCCAGCCCCACCTGGCGCAGGCCCCTCACCTGGGAACTCAGACAGGGTGGTCCACAGCAGGTCCATGTAGTCCTCCTCGCTTAGGTACTCGCAGGCCAGGCTGCACTTGGCCTCCACGGCCTTCTTCCGACTGGAGACTGGGAGGTGGAGAGAGAGAGGGAGAGGAAGAGGCCCGCGCAGGGTTGAATCGCGTCCTCCTGTTCCCCGTGTCTCCTTCCCTGCGTGTGATTTGGCTGGAGTTCTGAGGAAGGTGCACGGGCTCCGGACTCTGACCAACTCAGGGTGCCTCCCCCCGACCAGCAGTGGCAGAGCCCCACCTCTTTAAGCCCCAGCTTCCGGACAATCCGGGGGCTAATAAACCCTAGGGGGGTAAAGTGCTTGAGAGGCTGGACGCAGGCTGTGTACATGAATGCGCTTAGACTAGAACTGGGGCTTCCCAGGTGGCACAGTCGTAAAGAATCCACCTGCCAATGCAGGAGCTGTAGGAGATGCGGGTTCGATCCCTGGGTCGGGAAGATCCCCTGGAGGAGGAAGTGGCAACCCTCTCCAGTATTCCTGCCTGAGAAATCCCATGGACAGAGGAGCCTGGCGGGCTGTGGTCCATAAGGTAGCACAGTGGGACACAGCTGAAGTGACTTAGCACACACCATGACTGATTTACTCACCTCTTTCAAGTCTGTCTTTAAAGCTCAGCTGCTCATCGAGACCATCCCGTTTAAAACTGACTTACCCACGGCCCTTTACTCTGCCCCACACTCCTGACCTCCCTTGCCCTGTGTGATGTTTTTGCCCTCATGTCCTCTGTTAGGAAATAGAGGTAAAGACTTTGAAATGGCATAAGGTCCTGTTCTGTGAATCCTTACAGGTTATCTCACCTTTCACATCCTTAGGCTGTTTTACAACTCCACATGATAGAATACTAACACTAATGCCAATGATTCTTGTCTACAAAAATGCAAGCTGTGTCTGGCAGTGATGTAATTGATTATTGGCCTTCCACACACTGCCAGTTTTTGGCACGTTGCTAGCCTGGGAAGGGAGGGGCTGCAGAAACAAGGGGGGAGCCGTCAAGACCTAATAGTGCAGCCCGGTTTCTCTTCAAGGAATATCTTTGAGTTCTGCAGGCACTAAGGTCCCCACCCAGAAGGAAGGTGGCAACTCCAGACTGAGCACAAGATTCCTGGGACGTCCCCCAGTTACCTCGCCACCAACCAATCAGAAGAAAGCCACACACCCTGCAGCTCTCCTCCACCACCAGCAAATTCTGCCTATAAAAACCTCCCCCCAAACCATCGGGAGTTCAGGGTTTCTGAGCATGAGTCACCCATTCTCCTTGCTTGGCCTGGCAACACACCTTTCTCTGCTCCAAACTTCAACGATTTGGTTTGTTTGGCCTCACTGTGAGTCAGACACATGAACTTGTATTCTGTCACTGGCACAAAGGATTTAGGCTTAAACCAATACCAAACCCTGAATTTATAACTGAACTGCTTCCTCAGGGCAGTTCATTTAAGACTCTCTCACACCCCCCAGCGAGATGGGACTCTGTTATCTCACTAATAATACCAATCCTCATACCAATAAACAATTAACTCAGATTAAGAAGGCTTCACAAGAAAAAGATAACTGGACAAATCCTGCAAACAGACAAGAACTCCGTCCCTTTATCTCCCATCCTGAGTTCAATGCTAGGAATCTAATATTCTCTTAAAGACAGATTGGTTTGAAAGCCCAGACATCTATATGTAGATTTTGCTTCTTATTCATTCCTCTTGTCCACTGGGTCACACCTCCAGCTCCACAATGGAATCACCTGGGGAGCTTTAAAAACCCACTCATGCCTGGGCCCCACCCCCAAAGATGCTGATTAACTTAGTCTGGGCATTGTTTAAATAGCACTGCCTTTGTTTAAAAACTCCCCCAGGTGATTCTGTTGTGTGGCCAGGATTGAGCTCCAACCTGGTTCTCAGACTTAATACACGCACACAGGATGGCTCCACAGGGTCACAGCCGTAAAACTCGGGGATGGACTTCATGGACCTCTTGAGGGGTCGTAAGATATGATTCTGCTCGAAGGTTACGTCTATCATGATAAGATTGTCCAGGTTTCTACAGAACATCTCAGAAACCACAACCCAGCTCTTTCATATTCAGATTTTGCAGAAATCTGGGTCTGGCCAGGCCAGGCCCTGTGAGGGCAGGACGGGGGCTGGGAGTGTGTGTATGACCTTGTGTGTTGGGCGTGTTGTGTGTTGGGTGGAGGGCGTTAACTGCTTGAAGGCTGTGATACTCACTGCTGCAGACATCTCCCGCTTGGAAGAGCTCGGTGGTGAGCAGGACTAAACCATAGTAAGAAAATGCATTGGAAAACCTGCCAGGAAGCAAGCAAGAAGCGTAAGGAAATGATGGGAGAAATGCAAGCCCCCATTCCCATTCCATTGTGAAGGACTTCCACCCATAGCAGCAGAGACTAGGCTTTGGGCTCAGGCCACGCTGGGCCAGTTTTCCTGGACCGCTTGAGCAAGAAGATGGCGGGTACAAAACATACTGATGGGCTAAAAGGAAGTGATCCTGTGTCCTTTGAAAGATCAAGAAAATTGAATTATAGGGACTTCCCTGGCAGTCCAGTGGCTAAGATAAACGCAGGGGGCATGGGTTTGCTCCCTGATCAGGGGACTAAATCCCACATGCTGCACAGTGCAGCCAAAAAAAAAAAAAAAACCCAAAGAACTGAATTATATCACAGACAAGCCACCCCCAAAGCTGTTCACTCAACTGGAAAAAGGAGCCAAAAAACTGGGGGAACCAAAATTTGGTAGAAAACACTTTGACAGATGTCAACAGATGTTAGAGATTTTGGGTCGAGCAGAATAGGGAAGAGAATGGAGATACATTAAATAATATAGGTATTCCCCACTTTCTGAAAGCTTGCTTCGCTATAGTTCTCTTTTACGAAGTCTACATTAGTACCTGTTTTTGCTCGCCGGAAGAAAAGTTTCACTTTTAGAAAAAAATGGGGGAAAGCAAAAATAGCATCCAGTGTTTGTTTTGTAGAGGCAGGTCTTGCCCCAAGCAGTGACGATGGCGCCACCAAGCACCTTCCCTGGGAATTACCTTCAGTATCTCAGCACCAAGCTGCCAGTAGCTTTTTTCTTTTCTTTTCTTTTTTAAATTATTTTATTGAAGTATAGTTGATTTATATTGTGCTAATTTCTGCTGTGCAGTGAAGTGATTCAGCTACACATAGAAAGACATTCCTTTTCAAATTCAAGCTGCCATTCCCTCTGAACTGTGTCTGTGAGCATCTGTGCTTTATTTCTTTGACTAGCAAGATGGTCTTCATTCTTGTTTAGTTACTAAGTTGTGTCCGACTTTTTTTGTGACCCAATGGACTGTGACCCGTCAGGCCCCTCTGACCATGGGATTTCTCAGGCAAGAATACTGGGGTGGGTTGCCATTTCCTTCTCCAGGGGATCTTCCCCACCCAGGGATCGAACCTGTGTCTCCTGCTTGGCAGGCAGATTCTTTACCGCTGAGCCACCTGGGAAGCTATTTTTGCTTTCCCCCATTTTTTTGTAAAAGTGAAAATTTTCTTCCGGCGAGCAAAAACAGGTACTAATATAGACTCCGTAAAAGTGAACTATAGCGAAGCAAGCTTTCAGAAAGTGGGGAATACCTATATTATTAAATGTATCTCCATTCTCTTCCCTATTCTGCTCGACCCAAAATCTCTAACATCTGTTGACATCTGTCAAAGTGTTTTCTACCAAATTTTGGTTCCCCCAGTTTTTTGGCTCCTTTTTCCAGTTGAGTGAACAGCTTTGGGGGTGGCTTCTCTGTGATATAATTCAGGTAATAATAACTCAGGTAATTACTTCTTCGCTTTATGCCACTTCAGCTTGAGAAAGCTTTCATTGGAACACTCTACTTTTGTAACATTTTAATTTACTTATTTTTAATTGAAGGATAATTGCTTCACAATATTGTGCTGGTTTCTGCCACATAGCAACATGAATCAGCCATAGGTACACATGTGTTCGCTCCCTCTTGAGCCTCCCTCCCACCTCCCACCCGATCCCACCCCCTAGGTGGTCACAGAGCCCCAGTGTGAGCTCCCTGGGTCATGCAGCAAATTCACACTGGCCACCTATTTTACATACGGTAGTGTGATGTTCCCATGTACTCTCTCCACTCATCCCACCCTCTCCTTCCCCGGTCTGTGTCCACAAGCCTGTTCACTATGTCTGCATCTCCACTACTGCCCTACAGATAGGTTCATCAGTACCATCTTTCCAGATTCCATATATATGCATTAATATAAGATATTTGTTTTTCTTTTTCTGACTTACTTCACTCTGTATAATAGGCTCTAGGTGCATCTACCTCATTAAGTGAAAATGAAAGTCGCTCAGTCGTCTCCAACTCTTTGCGACCCCATGGACTATACAGTCCATGGAATTCTCCAGGCCAGAATACTGGAGTGGGTAGCCGTTCCCTTCTCCAGGGGATCTTCCCAACCCAGGGGTCGAGCCCAGGTTTCCTGCCTTATAGTCATTAGAACTGACTCAAACATGGGACACTCTACTTCTGAATAGCAGGGATGAGGAAACTGCGGAGCTCTGTCTCCGTGTTCAACTGAATCACTTCACCAAGCGTTTATTAAACACCTGCTCTGTGCCCAGCCAAGTGTGGAGTCTGCAGACTTCATGGGCATTTCAGATCAGAATGACACAGTTAATTAAATTCCGACTGTCCCAGGAACCAGAACACTCCAGTCCGTAGGGTCAGAATATCACGTCCTATAGTACAGCTATGTGGGAGCTCAGTCATAATCAGAAGCCGATGATTAATTTCCTTGCCTTACAATATGTGCTCCCAAATGTGATTTCTATAGTATTCTAAAATTAGGCTCTAATTAATTGCTTAGGATTTAAGTAGTGTCCGTCCAACAGAATCACATGCACTCAAAGATAGATACTCTCAATTCTGTTTCCCCACCTTTTAAAATATCCTGCCAGCTCCATACGTGGACTGGGCACACAGCAGGTGTTAAAGCCTTGGTGAGCTGATTCAGTTCTTGGGGGACGTTAGGGCAGAGCTGGAACCTGGTGCCGTATATCATCAAAGCTTTCACCCCACCCTCTGCTACACTCCACCCCCACCTCCGCTGCAACTGCCCTTTTTGAAGACACTCCCCTGCTCATTAGCACGTCTGCTCAAAGGTGAATAGGAAAAGTGAGAACTGGTGAAAACAGGTCACAGAGCCTCAACCGGGCTAATTTTCCGCACTGTTAATGCTGTAGAAATTACACAGTTGGAAGAGTTGAGAGAATGGCTGAAATTTGACTAGCTGTGGGGTGTAAGGTGAGTACTCACTACAAATGCCCTCCAGTCAATGCCATGGTTGTTATTTAAGAAAAAGTGGAACGAGATAAAAACTGAAAGTTCTGAGAATGCCCATGTTGACCAAATCGGGGGTTCCCAAAATATGGGCCCAAGGTAATATAAACGGAGTGGGCTGGATACAGCAAGAGTAAAAAAGAATTTCTTTGTGAAAAAAAGATTCCCCTGTTTCCTTTTGATTCTTTAATCCTATCTCAGTCTTACTTACGCACTAATGAGTCCCTAACATCTCTCCTCTCTGTCTCTTGAGCACAGAGGCTTCATGCCTCCTGCCTCTGGTAAACCATCAGTTTAGCTACTTTTTAGTGTATGTTCATCCCTCAGGATCCGTGGGGGATGGGTTCCAGGAGCCCCTGCGGACACCAGAATCCTTGGATGCTCAAGTCCATTATATAAAATGGTGTAGTGTTTGCACATAACCTACACACGTGTGCGTGCACACTCAGTTGTATTCGACTCTTTGCAAGCCCATGGACTATAGCCCACTAGGCTCCTCTGTCCACGGGATTTTTCAGGCAAGAACACTGGAGTGGGTTGCCATTTCCTCCTCCAGGGGATCTTCCCGACCCAGGGACTGAACCCTCGACTCCTGCACTGCCCCTTTTACCACTGGGCCACCTGGGAATCCCACATATCCTCCTGTATACTTCAAATCATGTCTGGATTACTTACAATACCAAATACAATGTAAGTGCTGTGTAGAGAATTGTAACTACAATGGAAATGCTATGTAAATAGTTACCAATACACAGCAACTTCAAGTTTTGCTTTTTAGAACTTCCTGGAATTTTTTTTTTCTATTATTTTCCATCTCTAGTTGGCTGAGTCCTTGAGTGGAGCCTGCGGCTAGGGAGGCTTCATATTTATCTTTAAAAACAACTTCTGTCTATGGTCTGCAATTACAGTTTTTCCTTAAAGCAGTTATACAAAGTTTCCTTTTAAAAGACACTTATCTGTCCTACTGTATAGCACAGGGAATTACATTCAGTGTCCTGGGATAAACCATAACAAAAAGAAGATAAAAAGAATGTATACATATGTGTATAAATATATCAAAAGAATATAAAAAGAACGTATACATACATATGTATAATTGAGTCACTTTGCTATATGGCAGAAACTAACCCAGCGTTGTAAATCAACTATACTTCAATTTAAAAAAAATTATCAGTAAAAAGTGAGTCAAATAAAAGAAGACTAAGCAAACAACAGTATAGAGGATATTTGAATAACACAGAGGTCACGAAAGTGATGCTCAGTTCTGCAAATGTTGCCCAAGATGGAAGAGTTCTCATTGCATCCAGTTCAAACAAAACCCCAAACAGGGTGCAGATGAGGGCGACCCAAGCATGAACAAACAGCTCTTACCATATAAACCAGAGCAACAAGGTTGTCCATCTAAAATGGGGTGTGAACAGGTCCCTCATTTTGCCTCGGTCTTCCTGTTTTAAGACAAAGAATGCCATTTACTCTCCTCCCCTGCAGATGTGTGGGCAGTGGCCATGCACCTACCCCAGAAGGAAATATCACCCCCCCCAAAAATACTCGCTGCCGCCGGGTACCCCAGAACACAGGGAGGCCCCTGCGGCAGCAGCTCCTTTCCAAAGAGAAGCCCACCACTGGAGCATCCAGCCTTGTCACTTTTGCTTTGCAGCACACATTGGACATCACTGTATACTTTCTCCATCCAGAGCATCTTCACACAGAAGGGAGCAGGGAGAACGAAGTCTCTCCCCAAAGGCAACTAAATGAGCCTCCGGTCCCCAGGCTCTTTGGGAGGACCCCTGCCCCACCCCTGTTCTTCCCAAAGCAAATCTGGGCTATGTCCTTGGCTTCCATGTGTCAGACCAGCCTAATACTTCCTCTTGAGCTGGTGAAATTCCATTCAGTTCTTTTCGCCCAATATAGAAATGTAATTTTATTTTTAAAAATAATTTCCTTGTAAGCTCTGTCGTTTGCTTAACGGTATTTGTGATGTTTTTATAAGCTGCAGGGTTGATTCTTGAGGGCAGGGATTGCAGCCTTTAAATCTGGCTCCTTTCCCCCCTTGCACCCACGGTAGCGGCTCATCTGTTTGTACTGCAGAGGAGTCCCTGACGGTGTTGCTGTGGGGAGCGATGATGCACCATCCATTAAGGATGTCTACACAGGCGTGGTGCAGTGCCCTGGATATAAGTCTATCATGGCACTTCCGAATGTGGGTTTATTGTTGAGCAACCACATCTGCTCATCAGACTTCCTGGGTGCTCGAAGATAAAACTGAAGCAAGAGTAGTCCCCCCATAAGGGGACATTATACGACATTTCTCCAGTCACTGGCTAAAGGCTCCAGGTGGCACTTGTAAGACTTGGCAATGAAAATACACAGGTTGAAGTTGCCAAATTCCCCTTGCGGGTCCTGCCCACTGCACCCCCACCCTCTCACGTACACAAGCTCCCCAGCTCATGCGGCAACACTCGCAGTCTGAACGCCTGGCACTGACCTGTCTGGAAATGATGAGTTTCCCCAGAGGCATGGGAGCTCCGTTTTCCGTGGCTATCCTCTTTAAGGTGGCGATGGCCTTCTCCTGGTTCCCGGACAGCACATCATACCTCGCGCTCTCCGGCAGCCACTATGGGGACAGGAGACCGAGATGTGGCCAGTTACTGCGGAACAGAACCCTTGGTCCCAGCCATACACTCTCACCTGTGTGTGAAGTCCTAAAGGCCAAAAGCTCTGGGGCCAGAAGCCTGGCTTCAAGTCCCCGCACTGCCATTGATTATAATGGCTTTGTGACCTTGAGCAATAACTTGACCCCTCTGTGCCTCTATTTCCTCATCCATCAAATGGGGATAATAATAGATCCTTCCTCTCAGGATTGTTGAGAGGATTAGATGGGATTATCCTAAATGCTCAGCACAGTGCTGGGAATGGTTGATGTAGCTGCCATTGTGGTTGTTGCTATGACTATAATTTGGTGCTTCTGAGTTCCAGGTGACGGCTGAATTAAGACTGCTGCCCAAAAAGAAAAAGTTTCACCTCTCTCAACACCATCATCATCATCTCTCTGTCTCTCAAGAAACTACACCTCATCTGTGTTTAGCATCATCTTGCGAACTCAATCTAAGAGACAGAAAGAAACCAGAAATACCTTTAGGCCTAATAGAGTCCCAACCTCATGTGACTAGATAAAGGTATCTCCATAAAACAAAGTAACAGTGGTCTGTGAAATAAGAGAGTATGAGACTTGGAGTCAGAAGATCTGGTTCAAGTGGTTTCTGTTGCTTATTTTTTGTGTGCCTTTTGAGAAGTCAATCAACCTCTCTGGGCCTCAGTTTCCTCATCAGTAAGATGAGAATGTAGCAGAGATTAAAATTCATGCTTCCCTTTCCATGGTACAGAGTTGTCTTCAAATATGGCTACCCAGCCAGAAACTACATTTCCCAGCACCTCGTGCACCTAGGCAAGGCCAGGTGACATGCTTTCACCAATGGCATATAAGCAGAATATTCCTGGCCAAGTGATGCCCTTCTTCAGTCTATGTGTAGAAGATTGCAAGGGCTTTCCCGCTGGCTCAGCAGTAAAGAATCCACCTGCCAGTGCAGGAGACATGGGTTTGATCTCTGGGTCAGGAAGAGCCCTTGGAGAAGGAAATGGCAACCCACTTCAGTATTTTTGCCCAGAAAATCCCATGGATGGAGGAGCCTGGTGGGTTTTAGTCCATGGGGTTGCAAAGAGTAGGACACAACTTGGTGACTAAACAACAATAGCAGAAGATTGCCCAGAATCACACCTGTCAAACAGAAGCACCCATTCTGGACTGTTCTGTGAATGAGAAACTCCTATCGTGTTAAGTTACGAATATATAGGCTTTGCTTGTTACAGAAGCATCCAGCCATGTTTGAAGCCAAATATTTAAGATTCTATCATGGGGGGATGAGGCAAGATATCTCCCACCCCCTTGATATCTCCCTCAAGGACATCCCAGCAGAGTCTGGAGGAAACCTGACACCCTGTACTGGCCCTACCCCTGTCCCTGTCCCTTTGTCTCATTTCCAGATTGAAAGAAATAATCTTAAGGCCACCACGTGGCTTTGGCGCCCTCCTCCACACCCTCCCCACCAAAATATAGTGAATGGCAAGAGACTAATAGCAAAGGCTGAGGTCTCTTAAAGGATACCTACAAAACACAGGACCGCAAAGAGGAGGAGGGGGACAGCTGAGAGGATGAGCAGCCAGCGCCAGCCCAGGCTGGGCATCACAAACACAGCCAGGACGACCTCGAACACCGTCCCGATGGCCCAGAATACCTGGCAGGGGAGAATGGGGGTCAGTCACGGTGCGGCTTTGGTCAACACAGTGCGCAATTCCAGGACCACTGCAGGCAAGGTTATCCACGTGGGTAAGAGGATCCTTGAGGCCAGGAAAGTAAGAATGGCCGTCCCTTTTCCTGTGGTCATATGGGTGGGCCAGGGCCTCCACGTTGTCCAACTCCTGAGGGTGCCACTCACACTGGATAATATTTGCATGGCACCCACTGGAGTGTGCACTGTGGCAGCTCTGGTCACGGAGATCAACACGATCAATATTGTGTGAGGTCAGCAGAACAGTGGGCACATTGGTTTTTGCCTACTGACATTCATCCTCTTGCCCAAGAGTGCCCCGGTCTCCTTTATCAGAACTGCCTCTCCCCCGTGGGGTTGAAGATCTTCTGTCTGCTTCTCTGAGTCACTCCATGCTTTTCCACCTCGCTCTTTGTATGGACCTCATCCACAGACTCCTTGTCCTCTGGCTTTACACTGGGTGCAGCCAATGGGGAACCCCATAGGAGATGAGAGGAAAAACAGACCGGGGTGTTTATTCCACCAGGGTGGGCGTGGGCTGGCTGCACCCTTCAACTGAAGGTCCTCAGAAAAGACAGGGAGCAGACAATGAAGGCCACTCAGGGTTCAGGATCAGCAGCAGATGCATTTCAATATTTAATCTGGTTCATCCGGACCACTGTGGACCAGCTGACCACTACCCCTGACTGGTCAGGGGTAGACACAGTCAGGACGGTTGGGCAGTGGGGTCAATGTGATCAATACTGTCATGTGAAAAAAGAATACTGCCATGTGATCATGGTGATTAGGGAGGATTCTGACTCAGTGTCCAGCAGGGACAGATGAATATTTCTACTGCATGGAGGACGGCCGTTAGGCAGTTGCAAATTTGTCCTGAGGGCTTCCAGATCGTAGTTGGAAAATGGGTCACAGGACCCTGGCAGAGGGAGGGCTTGAGAGGGACTGACTGGTCCAGGAGAGTTTTAAGGCAGTCTATTGGCCACAGAGGTGGCTGTGGATGGGGACCTCACATATGACATGAGTGAGTCTGGATACAAACAGAGATAATGAATGATGACAGGTGAACGGCAGGAGTTTGGTCCACTCAAGCTACACTATTCAAAACCAACTCTCAGATGAAAGTCATTTCTAGTTCAAGAAGGACTTTCTACCTGCCTGCCACCAGTTTTGTGTTTCTTTTTTTTTTCCAGCGATGGTAGATTGATTTTGCTTGTTGTTGAAGGAATTTATCCATATTGCAAAACCACCATGTTGAAATCAACATAACTGATTCATTTTAATCCTTGCATATTATATTTTTCTTAAACTCCACTTTCTTTGCCCCATGGCTCAAGACACAGGGAATCTGCTGCTCAGAGACTGAGTATTCTTCATACTCCCAGACCATCCTCCTTACCTCAATCAACAAAATACACTTAGCTCTGGCTTTCATTGGAAGGAACTCAGCATACAGTGTAACCCTGGGAAAGTGAAAGAGAGAAAGGGAGTTAATGTCAGGGCTGAGTGGGAAGATTGCTGTGGTTTTCTGGATTTTTTCATACAAAGAAAAAAGTCAATGTCATTTAGTCTTACTTTAAGTCTCTCCCAGTTTTGGTGTTCTCTCTCTCTCTTTGATCTCTCCATCTCTCTTAAACCCTAACTAAGACCATATTCAAGAATATTGAACCCAGTACTTCTTTGGCGGTCCAGTAGGTTAGACTCCATGCTTCCACTGCCGGGGGCATGGGTTCGATTCCTGGTGAGGGGACTAAGATCCTGCATGCCACATGGCCAAAAAAAAAAAAATCTCTGTGCCCTGTTTTTATCGAATATATAAATAGTATTTCTGTGCTATTTTAATAGTATTTCCACGCTATTTATCCTCTTACACACATATATTCCACCATATTCATGGGCCATATTTTCCTTAATAATATCTACCTTTCACTGAGGACCTACTATGTGCCAAACATTTTCTGAGATGATCTGCGTGAATTATCTCACTCAATAAATGACAAACGTGGAAAATCAACAGGGTAGATAATTATAATTCTCATTGTGTGTGTGTGTGTGTGTGTGTATCTTTAACTCCTATTTTCATCTTTGTATCTGCATCAAGTGAGTGAAGACTCTTTGCAACTGTATAACCCATGGAATTCTCCAGGCCAGAATACTGGAGTGGGTAGCTGTTGCATCCCCCAGGGGATCTTCCCAATCCAGCGACCAAACCCAGGTCTCCTGCACTGTGGGGAGATTCTTTACCAGCTGAGCCACCAGGAAAGCCGGTCAGATTAGTTGTTATTCTACCAGGACCACATAACTAGTAAATTAGCAAGTAGAAGAGCCATACTTTTAATTCAGGTCTGTCTATATTATGCACCCCTTCATTCACTTCCCTATTTAGGTGGTTTCACAATTATAAACAATACTTCAACAAGCATCTTTCATCTTAAATCTTTGCTTGCATGTGTTTTCCTTAGGATGGATTCTTATAGTAGAATTTGAGTCAAAGGGTATGCATATTTTTGCTTTTGATAAATATCACCAAAAGTGAAGTGAGGTGAAGCGAAGTCGCTTAGTCGTGTCCGACTCTTCGAGACCCCATGGACTGTAGTCTACCAGGATCCTCAGTCCGTGGGATTTTCCAGGCAAGAATATTGGAGTGGTTCCCAAAAATGTTGTTCCAATTTATATTCCTACAAGTACCTCTCTCAACACAAACCATTAGGAATTTCATTAACTCAGCTCTGAGAATGGAGACGAATTGCAGGCATTGTAAAAGATGACAGTGATTATCACGAATGACTTTGAAATTTTATTAATATTCTCCAAATGATATTTCTGTATTATTTTTTAAAAATTAATAATACTGAAATAAGAAGTGTGTTTACATTTTTCTCCACCAAATTAAAGTCAAGTTACTAACCATGAAAAAATGTGCTATAGTATATTCTGAGGACAAAGCTAATCCTTAGATGTCGAGGATTTATTTGGACATGCTATAATGAACTTAGAGCATGCAACCTTTTAATTTTAGGCATATAAGTGGTACACGAATGCATTCTCATTGTAAATAATCTAGCAATATGCAAGAATACAAAGTATCTGAAGAATCTTCCTCTTCCTCCTTACCCCTGATTCCATTCCCCTGCCCCAAAGCCATGACTAATAGCTGTTTGCTTTGCAACCTTCCAGCCCCTTCTCTATGTAAATGAACATATAAATTTAAAACTGAACAGACATTTTCCCAAAGAAGACATAGCAGATGGTAACAGGCACATGAAAAGATGTTCGACATCACAAATCATCAGGGAAATGCAAATCAAAACCACCATGAGCTATCACCTCACACCTGTCAGAATGGTCATTATCAAAAAGACAACAAATAACAAGCATTGATGAGGATTCAGAGAGAAAAGAACCCTCAGGCAGTGTTGGTGGGAGTGTAAATTGGTGCAGTCACTATGGAAAACATTATGGGGGTGCCTCAAAAATTAAAAATAGAACTATCATATGATCCAGAAATTCCACTCCTGGGTATTCATCTGAAGAAAATGAAAACACTGATTCAAAAAGATACATGCACCTCGATGATCATCGCAGCATTATTTACAGTACCCAAGGTTCAGAAGCAACTTGTGTCCAACAACAGACAAATGGATAAAGAAGATGTGGCTATAAATATATATATACACATACATACACATATTTATACATACACAATAGAATATTAACTATTAAAAAAGAATTAAATCTTGTCATTTGCAACAACATGGATGAACCTAGAGAGTATTATACTAAGAGAAGAAAGTCAGCAGAGAAAGACAAATGCTGTGTGATTTCACTTATACGTGAAATCTCAAAAACAGGACAAATAAACAAACATAGCAAGCAGAAATAGAGTCATAGACACAGAGATCAGACAGGTGGTTGCCAGGGGGTGGGGCGGGGGAGGGACAAAGCAGCAACTAGGTGATGGAAATGAAGAGGTAAAAACTTCCAGCTGCAAAATAAATGAGTCATGGGTATGAAATGTACGCTGTGAGGTCTATACACCGGAATTAATTACATAACAATAGCAGTAATTGGGCTTTCCATGGGGGCACTAGTGGTAAAGAATCCGCCTGCCAATGCAGGAGATGGCAGAAACATGGGTTTGATCCCTGGGTCGGGAAGATCTCCTGGAGGAGAAAATGATTACCCCCTTCAGTATTCTTGCCTGGAAAATTCCATAGACAGAGGAGACTGGTGGGCTACGGTCCATGGGGCAACAAAGTCAGACACGACTGAGCACAATAGTAATAATAAATTTAAGTAACATGATGTCTTTTTTCTTCCCTTCCCTTCTCCTTCCTTCCCACACATGCAGGGTATGGCCAGTGTTCCATAAATGGCCCCATTCTTACCACTTCCAGCTATGCCAGTCCAACTTGCAATTGCCAGCACCTGTAACTCTTCCCTGAGTGCTTTCCCTGGTCATTAAAGCTTGCTTTGCCAACCTGTGTGGTAGACCAGAAGTGCCAAAGAATTTCAACTTCCTGGGAGCAGCTCTCAACAAAGAGACAGTTCGCTTGTCTCTTGAACAGGACAATCTGGAGAGTGTGTTGCAGTCTCTCAGAGGAAACTCCTTGCTCCTGAGTGCCTATGTCAGGATCTGCTCCTGATAAGACAGTTTGGAAGTCTTGCCATAATAATCTATATCGATCTACCAGATTATTTGTTAACAGCTGCAATCTTACAATGAATACTCAGATGGTTTTCAATTTCTTGTTTTTGTAGCCTATGACACAAGGAACATCTCTTCCTGTAATTGTGCCCCGCATCTGGCCATTATTTATAGCAGTTCATTAGGAAAAAAAATTAATTTGGGATTCATTCAAAGTAGGGGGATTATTACAATCATATTAAAGAGTCAAAGAACAAGCAATGAAATTAGCAATGCCAAGAAGCAAATGATATAGACGTGAGTAAATCCCCTCTGCAAGTAATTGCATTTTTGGCACTTGGCAATTAGAGATTTGCCATTTGGATCACACACTTGGAGAGAAATGACCTGGGATCTCCATCTGGCATTTCTGCTTGATCTTTGGGGAAAGAGCAGTTTCAAGGTCAGATGTGTGAGCAAGCTGATTCTAGACAACAGACAACAGATCTGAAGAAACTTCTGAGGCAAGTCTCAAGGTAGAACAGATGGGCAGCTACCTGGGGTATTTGTCTTTAAGTAAGTAAATAAGTAAGTAAGTGTTAGTCGCTCAGTCGTGTCCGACTCTTTGTGACCCCACTGACTGCAGTCCACCAGGCTCCTCTGTCCATGAGATTTTCCAGGCAAAGATACTGGAGTGGGTTGCCATTTCCTTCTCCAGGAGATCTTCCCAACCCTGGGATTGAACCTCGGTCTCCCGCATTGTAGGCAGACACTCTACCGTCTGAGCTACCAGGGAAGTTCATTTGTCTTTAAGAGTGGCTAAAACACTCAGTAGGATGCCAGGCAAGGCAGGCTTCCCGCTCAAAGTTGTGTTTCTGCAGAGACACACAGCGCCCTCTACTGGAAATAATAAACCATCTGCCCGGGTCCTGTATATTTTTTTGGTGAGGCAGGATGTGACTGGTGATGGAAGTAAACTCCGATGCTGTAAAGAACAATATTGCATAGGAACCTGGAATGTTAGGCCCATGAATCAACGTAAATTGGAAGTGGTCAATTTACCTTGAGATGGCAAGAGGAATCAGTGATCTAAAATGGACTGGAATGGGTGAATTTAACTCAGATGACCATTATGTCTACTACGGTGGGCAAGAATCCCTTAGAAGAAATGGAGTAGCCATCATAGTCAACAAAAGAGTCCAAAATGCAGTACTTGGATGCAGTCTCAAAAACGACAGAATGATCTCTGTTCGTTTCCAAGGCAAACCACTCAATATCATGGTAATCCAAGTCTACGCCCCAACAAGTAATGCTGAAGGAGCTGAAGTTGAACGGTTCTATGAAGACCTATAAGACCTAGAACTAACACCCCAAAAAGATGTCCTTTTCATTATAGAGGACTGGAATGCAAAAGTAGGAAGTCAAGAGATACCTGGAGTAACAGGCAAATTCAGCCTTGGAGTACAAAATGAATCAGGGCAAAGGCTAACAGAGTTTTGCCAAGAGAACACACTGGTCACAGCAAACACCCTCTTCCAACAGCACAAGAGAAGACTCTACACATGGACATCACCAGATGGTCAACACCGAAATCAGATTGATTATATTCTTTGCCGCCAAAGATGGAGAAGCTCTATACAGTCAGCAAAAACAAGACTGGGAGCTGACTGTGGCTCAGATCATGAACATCTTATTGCCAAATTCAGACTTAAATTGAAAAAGGAGGGAAAATCACTAGACCATTCAGGTATGACCTAAATCAAATCCCTTACGATTATACACTGGAAGTGACAAATAGATTCAAGGGATTAGATCTGATAGACAGAGGGCCTGAAG